ATCTTCATCGACACTCAAAGGTTTCCTGGCCAATGTTTCGAACCAGCCACGCTGCCCCACGCAGCTGGAATGACATGAAATTCAGCAACGCAGCCCGCAGCTCCCACGCATACCATAGGAAGCGCAGGTGATTGTTTGGAAGCCTTTGAGGTGATGAGTCAATGTCCAGGTAGGCTTGAAGGAGTCTTCGGCCAGCGGACTAGGAGGAGCAGACATTTCAAGATGATTCAAGCCTTTCTCGCGCGGCATCTTGAACATGACTCATGCTTAGCCCTCCCTTACCTTGCTTTAATAAGGAGGCTATTGAAAATGACCAGCTGAAAGACGGCTGCCCCACTAGATCAATGTTTTATTGCCGCGTAGTCGCCAGGAATGCGAGTGGTTTGTCAGTTCATGCCCAGATTCCACACAACCTCTTGCCGCAAGGCTGGCTCTCGCAGCTCGTGCTGCACCGTGTGGGGCTTGCGGCGGCACTTGGCTTCAAGAGATTTGGCAAGGCCTGATGGCACTGCCTTCTTCTTGACTCCCAAGGAGCGGGACGGCAGAGATATGCAGTGGGCCCCCCTGGCTTTCTACGATTTTTGTTGTTACTGTTCATGTTGTTTTTATCGAAGAGATGGTTGGATGTTTCATCATGTTTCATCATCCACACGTAATTCATGTTGGCATCGTGTTTGTGCAACAGGGTGCTCCTGGAAGCTTTCAAGGATTTCAAGGTAGTTGAAGCACGTTGCAGTTCTGAATCAATGGAGGAGGGCCGTGTGCCTTCGAGCGTCAACGTGCTCATCAATGAGTTGGGCTCAGTGCCCAGGCCCGGCGGAACATGACATGGAGTTGATGCTGCCTAAAGACATCTCGAGTGACATTTCATTTTGGAATCAACTCAATTTGGGTGACTCGAGTGACTCCTCCAAGGAGGTTGCATGTCAGTGGTCGGCATAAGTACCGCAATGAATTACTGTAATTAACAAGTCTTTCAGCAACTAGCGATTGCTCGCTCTCATGCATGGCCCATGAGCCCATAATACTGCTCAATTTTGGAGTGGGCAGTTTGTTGCAAGCTCTCTACCAAAACTACTGCTTGCAAGCATGGGACAGGTACTGTAGGTAGTGTGTTCAGTACTTGCATTCAGCGCGCCTGTCTCCTGCCAAAGGTCAAGATTTTTCAGAATTAATTACAGTCCAAGTCCAAGCCTAGTGATTAGTTTAGTTGGGTTCCTTTCGGATTGGGTTGATTCCAGATACTTTTCACTCTTGGGAACAAGGGTCACACCCGGAGGAGTTTTGTTCTTCGTGCAGAGATTAGCACATGGAAGGGAAGTTCAAGAGAACGTGGAAAAACAAAAAAGACAATGATAGAAGAGGAATACATTTCTCGGAAACGGGCAATGACAGGGAAGAGGCCGAGGCGAATAAAAGACACAGCAAAATGACATGGGACAGTTCAAAGGAGAAGGAAAATGAACAGGAACACGGGAAGGGCAATTGAGCACGAAACTTCAAAAAGGACAGTGACAAAGACATGCCAGACCACGGCCAGTGGGAGGATAAATCAAGGAGGACGAAAATGGGACCATTCTATCCTACTTTCAGAGCAGGATAGAGAGGTCCAGAGCAAGCAGATTGACCCTCTATCATGGTTTCGAGGATGCAGTATCCAGATACACTCCCGAAAACTAACATAGACCCTGACAATGGTCCCCTGGAAGACTATATTCCTCTACCAACCAGGGGTTTTCAGGTTCCATGTTAGTCTTCCAGGGTGCGTGGAGCACATAGCCCAAGCCAAGAGGACCTTCAAGAGATCTAGAGAGCTTCAGAGATAATTATCTAGATGAGTGTAGCCGTTTAGATATCCCGTGATATACCATTGGCAGTAGAGTTCGGAAGAGCAAGAGAAAAACACAATGGTCAAGAAAATAGGTCCAGCAGCTAGCAGGAAAGGGCAGCTCAAAGAAGTTGAAAGGAAGAGCAGCTGGTACTGGTAAAGAAATCAAGATTTGCAGTTCAAAAGAAAGAACCTAAAAAGACATAACACGACAGTTTGTGAAGAAAGGCGAGCGACTGTGCCACCGAGAAGGTGACTTTTGGATCCATGGCCCATGGTGTTCTACTACTCAGACATTCTCCGGCAGATCCTCCAACGTTAAATAACATCAAATAACTACATGCACAGATTCCTCCTGTTTGTAACTCTGTCGGTTACCATCGGATGCTTTGCCGGGCAATTTTAGTCTTTAGGGGTGTCCAAATGCAGCTAAAGGAACCCAAGTGTCAGTGAAGATCCTTGTGCGGTTGGGATGTGGCATGATGTAGCTGGGTGCCAGCTAAACATTGCCCTTTTGAATCCTGCTTTGGAGCATGCGCTGGGCAGGACTCTTGTGTTGCTGCATGTTGCCTATTCTGAAGAGCCCTTTGTCGCTGAGTCAGAACGACTTAAGTGGTCGACGGTGGACAGAGGACTAGGCCGGAAGTGGAATGGAACAACCTTTAGCTGGCATCACAGCCGTGTGACTAGTTGGAACCACAATCAAACTTGACGGTGTGTTTTTGTTTGGCCAGAAAGTGCCATGAGTCCAACGTGCTACTGGCGGCATCGGGCTGTGGCAAAGGCATAGAATTATCACCACCATTAATTGATAAAATGGACTTGTCACTCCAGTGGCGAAACGAGGCATCCGTACCTCTGCAGCAGGTCTGCACACGGCTACATTGAGCTTTGGCTATGCGGAACCACTGACGGCAGCTCGCTTTGACCTCGATTCCAAGCTGGCATTCCTGACTCAGGCTCGTTCGTGATGTGGCACAAGTGCATTCTGTTTGATAGTACTACTACGGCCTGTGATGCTGCTTGCTCCCCTTGTTGATAAAAGAGATTCCGCCTGCGGAGAGATACTGAAGGCCCTATCATTTTGTACAGACCGGTATTCCTATGATACTATTGCACCCTCCATGACACCTTGGTACTTAGCCGATGCTTGCAAAAGTTTGTCCTTGGGCCATGGCCCACACGCCAGGACCACATAACTCGTTCAAAGACTGCACCCGCTGGGCGTGCCATGGCACAAACCTGAAAAGTCCTGAAACATCGAGATACTACTGTAATTACAAAAGCTCTCTTTTGTTCCATGCATTGCCGCTTCCGGAACGCAAAGGTCAGGTTTATATATAGAAAAATACTTGACTGCATTGTAGCCAACAGTTCCCCAGTGTATAGCTGTTGTGTATGTTGCGGATGTACCGGCACGCCGCTTTGCGCATACAGTATCTTGGGCACCTGGTGCAGTGTAGTCTGAGGCATTGATGAAGAAGGCAATTTGACTTTTGGGAAAGTACGTGCCGATCCTCATGTCACCTACATTGCCCTTTGGCGTGGCGAGAGTTTGTACTGCTTTTGTGGGAGAACGGGACAAACAGAAACGATCGATCACCCTGAAAACGGGCTCTTCGAAGACGGAGTTGAACAGCAAGCCCAAGCGCGGCATTCAGGCAAGCCACTCCGAGTTTTTGTTCAGGTCACATGTTTGGCAAGTGGCAGGGCATTGTAAAGAGCTTCTTTGTACGTTGCCAAGGGCTTACAAGCTCCTCCACGCCTGTCACTTCCAGTCAATTTGAAGAGAATTGGATAGAATTGGATCACATCACTCCACTTTGGTCACTGGTCTCACTGCGCATGACATGTGTCACTTTGGATGTTTGAGATTCAGTGACGTAGCAACGGTGAGGCAATGACAATGCTGTGAAGCTGATGCCGATGTTGTGCAGCCAGTGATGCTGAAATGAAATCGATGATGCATACGACGTACGAATTCAACTTGTTGTGAAAGCAATGACAAAGTGGCATAATGTGGCGATGTTGATATTGATGGCTACCTTTGAATTTCGATGACAATTCTGTGACAGCGTCGGTCATTTAGAGAGGATGACAGTATTGACTGGCAAAATGACAACTTTTATTAATTATGCATCCAACCAGGATAAACGATGCAAGCCATAATGTGAAAGGCACCATACTGGCAGACCTGGAGGTGTGAAAACAAAGACAAAATCCCCGTGAACCTGGGTTTCCATGCAGGTTCAACATAGTGCGGTCACACATTTTTAGGTCACACACAGGTAAGGACTCCACGATTTGCAGGGTCACGGCATCACCTCTTCGGCATGTTTCGCCAGACCGCCCAGAGATGGACTCAGGTGAACAGTAAGCGCTTCGTAGCGGCGGAGGACAGCTGCCTTGCAAGGGCACAAGTGGCGATATTCTCTTTGCTGAATCGTGGCATGGTGGAGTTGATGCCTCTTTGGTGTAGGGACCACATATATATATATATATGTACCAAGCAGGAAGTGCTTGTTGACAGGAATTCGCAATTGAAACAGCTCTGAAGTTATCTGAGGTAACAGCCAATCTCCGGTGTCCTTTTTTGGCCTCCAGGGGCAGTCCGTCTTGGAAGTTTCAGCTGTTGCAGAGCTCTGACACCATCGTTTGTTGAAGTGCTCTTTGATGTGAAGAGCAAAAAGCTGGACTGAAACGTCATTGCGTGATGGGTTGACAACATGTCCTTGACTTTGACTTGGCCTGAAGCGAGACGTGGTTAATCTAAGATAATCTAAGTATGTTACATGATTGAAGCACCAAAGCATGCCAGAGCGGTTTTTTTACCCCCTTAAAAGAGCACGACATCGCCCATCTCATCTCTTGCCTTCGTCCCTTGGATGTTCATGTTTGTCATGGCAAGGGGCATTACTGTGAGACGACAGCCAACTGGTATTGCAGTTGCCTGTGCCAAACTGGTCATGCATCCCACCTGAGCTGCTTCCATCAAGTTCAGCACCGGTTCAATCTGCGTTCGACACTTATATAAAAAGATATAGACATAGATATAAATAGACAATAGACAGCTGCTTATTGTTTTAATGTGGAGTTGCAAGATTGAGTTGACCTCGAGCCCGTTGATCACATTGACATGCCTCTAGAACTTTAGAGCCCAATCTTTTTGCTCTACCCGAGCAGGGAGCAATAAGCAACATCCAAGAGTGACTGGCCCTTTGTTGCGTGCAGCCATGGTGCTGCAACCTCCAATCTGGGTTTGAGACTGATATTCGAAGGGTCAGTGTGGGGTGTTCAGGATCCTGCGGATTTCCAACTGCCACCGGTTTCAGGTTTTTCAGGTCAACCTTCCGAGGCCGACTTGCGCCCTGGTGTGGATCCCCTGCTGGGTGGGCCACAGCTGCTGGCACCAGGGCCCTGCTTCTCACGGCCCATCTCTCCAGGCAAGCAAGGGCCGAAGCATTCTTAGCAGAGAGGAGCGAGATTTTCTTAGCTGCTTAGCGGTGTTGATTGTAAGCATTGCCCGAAGATGCATGCTTGACCTATGAGCAATGTAGGCATGCCACCACGCATTACGCCGGTCTGGAACTAGGTCCGGCATATCCTCTTGGGTGAACAATGAGTAGTGATACACACACTTTGCGCAGACATATTGCATTTAGACATGTTACATGCTTGGATTTTCACAGGTCTGGTTGGTACTCTTAGCACCTATAATCAGCCATAGAGTCTTCGAACTGCCAAACTCTCGAGTAGAGAAGTCAACACAAGTCAACTGAATGCACTGCGGGAGATGCTGAGGTTGGCCCTTTGTGGACACCGGTCTCCGGTCCGATGCCCCCAGTGCAGCTCCCTTGGCCTGGACCAGGGTCTGGCTCTGGTGCTGCTCTAAGACTTGCAGATATGTTCTTTAGAATCCATGACTCTCGAGGCATGCTGAAGACATGCTGGGGAGAGTGTGAGAAGACATGTGGAAGACATGTGGGCAGCTTTCCAGACTTGCATGCAGCGTGGCATTGCCTGACCTCACTCGTGCAATTTAAAATCATTGTAAGATGACAGTTCACAGAATCGCCATCGAGCAATGTGCCACTTCAGGTGAGCCACAGTTGCAGGCAGATGATAACACGCAACCATATTCTACAGCTTACTGTTACCATATGCAACTAATTAAGTTTCCTCATTCTTTCACCTGCTTTCTTTGGCTTCTCCTGTTCCTTCCGATTTTGGGCTTGCCATTCTTCAGATCTTGCCTCCGATGCCACGAGTTGGCAAGGACCAAGTCGGGAGAGCGGACACGCTTGACATTTTGCAGCCTTGGCAACCTTACCGGGCCCAGTGGGAAGATAGGAACATAGCTTAGATAGATATTGTACTAGCAATGCCAGCAACGTCTACCATGAAGTGTGCCTGTTGTGAAAGATCATGCAGACACATGCTACTACTACTTTGTTCTATTGCACTGCATCCTAGCATAACAGGAGGTGTTGCTTTGTCATCTCCAGGAGTCATTGGCTTTGGGCACATTCCATCCATCGACGCTATCGACGCTTGGTTGGAAAGAGGGATGCCAAGGCCACATTGTATTTGCTGTGCAGGAGTATAGTAGGAGCAAGAAGCTACTAGTAGCTCCGGGCATCGCTACTAGGAACCTGGGCATCGCTACTAGGAGCAAGGACGCTACTAGTGGTTCCTGGCCTTACTACTAGTAGCAAGAAGCTAGGTGAGGCGTCATGCTGTGATTCGTGCCTGTAAGGCGTGGGGCCATTGGGTCATATCGGATGCAAGTTCAAGCAATTTTTTGTTCTTGCAAGCGCATGCTTTGATGAGAAGAGCCTAGACATTTCAATCATGATCATTCACTACTTAGGCCGCGAAAGTTCAATTTGCCAGTGGCCTAGGCCTAGGTCTGGTTTTAGGAGAGCACGCTGGACATCTCATAGATTTGATGGTATGAAAATGATGAGCAGCAGCATTTTTGAGCAAGGCATTGTGTTTGCAATCCGTGTGGTCGTCCTTGGTTTGCTAAAGATTTGCTGTGTCACTCCTGGTCCTAGGCCAGAGGATTTGCTCTCTCGTATTGAAGGTGATGACCTTGGTTGGGTGAAAAAGACGCAGTTTGAACTGGTTGAGCCATAGGACATGAAGAAGAGCTATCAGGGAGGGGTTGACAAAGAAACAGATCTGGGAAACAAGGATGGTGGAATAAGATCTTTGACAACATTTGTTTCTGTCCTGCGACCTGCAATCCAATGAAGCACTCCCCGCTTTTTGATCCCGAGTATCAGTATGGTTGAGAGCTATTTGAGCATTATCAACATTTTGCACTCAGCTGCGTGTTGAGTTAGATAGACCCAGGATGCACCATGCATCTTCCCCTGCTCTCCACAGTGAGGCTGTGTTTTCTGTTTTCTCGAAAAAGGCCTGAAGTCCGCGGAGTCCGCGGTGTTGTCTTCCAGGTGTGGTCACGAACATGGAAAAGAATGTCGCTGAAGAGCAGAGGCGGATCTTGATGGATCCCAAAGTTGGGAAATCAAGATTGTGTTCAAAACAGCCACCATGCACATGGGAGTATCAGATGATCGTGTGTTGGATTGAGAGATGGACATATGACAAGCAGTTCATCAGGTGGTATTTGTTTAATTTCCGGCGCCATTTCATCTTTGGTAGAAATGATAAGAGGACCTGATTCATTTCTATTCGATGGCAGTAGCATGTGAAAATCTTTGACATCCTTTTGGCTTCGTCGATTCTTGTCAAACTTGAAACAACCTTTTTCGGTCAGGCTACGCATCTCCGAGGCTTGGATTCGGGACATGTAGACACGAGACATCTCTGAAGATTCTCTGTGCAATTCAATGATCCATCATATCGGATCCACCGACACGTTTACTCTGAAACCTCAGCAGTCTAACACGCAAGTGCCACAGTGCACCGACAGTCAATCTAATGGTCAATCAGAATAGTTGGCGGATGTTGGTGGCAAGGCTGAATACTGAATCTACGTCACATGGGTGTGAACAGATGCCGAGGCCGTTTGCAGCTCCTGCGGGGCAGTTGGGAGCTTCAGAGTACGGCTTTTAATGTGAAGGATGGATATAAATAGGCATTTCAAATTTCAGGTACGTACGACAGTACGACATGTAGGAAACCAGACAAGATGGGCCACCTTGAGGTTTCAGTCGGGTTGTAGAAACTGAGCACAGCTGGCCGATGAAACCCGATTCTTGAGGCCATCGCTAGTAGTAACAAGAACGCTACTAGGGGCTCCTGGCATCGCTACTAGGAGCAAGGAAGATACTAGGGGCTCCTGGCTTTACTAATAGTAACACAAAGCTACTAGTCTATTTGTTCTTTTTCCGCTGTTTCTTATTTGCTGCAATGTCCGATTCTTGAGGCCCTGACCGGCGATGCACGGTTCTGTGATCGTTGTGGCCGGCAGCAGGTGGACCATGCTCCAGAGGCCTCACAAGAACCAATATGATATCTCTCAACCGAAGGCCGCAAACAAACCTGACCTAGTTCATCATCATATGCATTTATAATCATATATACAGTATACACATAACAAGTTCATTTATATCTTGGTTTCATGATGCTTCTAAGTTATTCGGGATCTCCCTCCTACACTTGCTGCAAGGCTGCAAGCGCATATGTCAGGACGATTTGGTCCAAAACCTCGCCCAGCGACTGGAAAGTTTGGAATCCCGGCGTCAGGCAGGGCATGCAAAGACTGGCTACTGGAGGATCCCCCGCCAAAAAAGGCTTGTGTTTGTTTTGCCACTCCCTCAGAAGGCATGTACAGGCAAGTGCTACAAAAGTGTTCAGGATCCATCCCAAGAAGCCACACATTTGGGGCACAAGCGGTTTGCCTTTAAGATTTGCTGCCTTTGCACTTCCGACAGCTGCATGTGTTTCAGCACCTGGAGCCAACCCAGACTGACAATTCTGAACAGCCGGTCAGGTCGCAGAGCAGCGTTGGGGCCCAATGATGCTGCTCACTGTCCTCTTGACACACACAGTACAGCCGTACATATTTGCTTTAGTATGGTAAATCTATTCTCCTAATTGGCCAGGGCCAACATACTAGCTTTTCAAGAATTGGATGTCTTACTGTTCAAAACGCTCGCAATCAAGAATATGAATACATATCAATCAAATAATTTCCAGCAATGCAACCTCGCATCTCCAAAGCGTTTGATGATCAAGGCAATTGACCTATCTCAATTCATGTCAATTGAGCAAGAATTGGATGTTCAATAATATGTCAAGTTGTTGCCATGTTGTTGCCTTCTAGGCTTTGGAAGGTGTCAAGGGGCGTTAAGAGCAACTTGGCACCGAGGCGCTACCCAGTTGGAAGAGTTGCGGCGACTGGTGGCCGAAGGCCCTTCAGCAATCGATGCTGATCAAGCCGACCTTCATAAACTAGAAGTGTCAGAAGACTTTTGTTTTCTGGAAGTCGACTGTAAGTATTTGATTGCATTTAACATCATTTTACCAGTTCTGTGCCAGCTCCCTCTCCACTTGATTGCAGGACGGCACAAGCAGTACTTGACGCATTTCATCACCCTTGATGATCATGGTTTTGCCAGAGCCTTTGGAGATGATTCGATGATGTAAAGATCATGTCTCCTCACTCGCTCAAAGTACCACAAAATCTCGGCATGTCAAAGGGGCGGCTTGAGTTTGGAGCCCAGGACCTTCAAAAGCGCGAGAATGGTCCGGTGCCTAGACTGCTTGCTGCTCAAGGCGCTGACAAGGTGCCTTAAAGCATCAATCTGCCGCAATTAGCCATGTTAACCGGCCAACCTCAAATTGCATTTTCGATTGCCACCTGAAGCCTTGCTCTCGGGCAAAGACCAAACGAGAATGACATCCAGTTTGAAGGTTGAAGAGCTGTTTTTGTCCAGCTGAAAGGTGCGCAAAGAGAATGTTGGATTTTTTGCATGCTGTGCGAACGAGGTAGCGCAGCAAGCACGCAATCGACAGGCCTGTGGAAGGAGTGTGATTGCCCATTTGTCGTTGCTTTACAAGGTGAGGGCTTGCCGGATAGTAGGGTGGCGAAGGCCATCGCTAGCAGGTTGGAGGCCTTCACTTCTAGGGTGGAGGCCATCGCTTCTAGGGTGAAGGCCATCGCTACTAGGCTACTTGGGGCAGATTCTTTGGAGGTGCATCCTGTTGAGCCACAACTGCGCAGGGCATCGCGGGGCAGTATGACTAACAGAGAGATACACAGATAACCAGCCATGTATGCATCCCCGTCCTGGTGTGGCCATGTATTTTGGACAAACCCTTCTATCAATCGTCAGAGGCGATGTCTTGAGGCCAAGAATCAACAGGGGTATAACCTGGTGTGATTACCTCGCACAGGCAGCCGTGAAGTCAAAAGCGCTGAGGACTTGTGCCTCAATGGCAGCCTAGACATCTGCAAGAAATGGACCCAGACATGGGTGGTGAGAAGAGAGGCCGACATGAGCCATGAATATCCGAATAGCTAATGGGCTCCAATGGACGGTTTACGTTTGGAAATAGATATACACTACCTGCAGGTGCATGAACCTGTCCCAAAATTGGCCCAAATCTAGATCATTTGTAAAAGTAGGTGTCATCGATGGAGTTCTTCCAAAGTAACGAGCGGACTCGACTTGAGTAGCAGGACTCTCAGCTTCACGCTGCCTTGGCCCAAGTGGAAGACGCTTTCACCGAGGAGCTCAACGTCTTGGGTGTAGCAGGCCGAAGCCGAGGACGGTAGTCGTGTCATTTGACAGGACGGAGGGTGTGAGTTTCCTCTATTAACCATGGACCCTCGGGGTTCATGTTGGACTGTTGGACCATTTGCTAGAGGGCATTTTATAAACACATGCACCCGTGAGTTTCTATAGAATGCCACACTTCGAGGTCTGTGATTCTGTCAGACCAATGTTTGTTGTTTAATGGTAAAACCATTGGTTTTGTGTCAACAAACTTTGAGACGCCGGATTCTATAGAGGATTGGCGTTTGATGATTGCTCTCATCATCAAGGATTGTCACTCGAGGTACCTTGTTTTTATATTCAAACAATGTCAAGCGCCACTTTTACTTTTCCATGGTCTGTCGTATCGTGGAATCACACAATGACATAATGTTGAAACCTTCATGACCCGTTTGTTTCGTAAACTCCTGATTCTGTAGAACATTACAGAGGTACCTGGTGTGTGGTTTAATTTCGGGTGGAGAAGCCAAGTGTTCTGGTCTGGTGTTGGCTGAATGTGGCAATGGAATTTGATGGAAGTGGGTAGTAGAATAAAAGGGTAGATTCACCCAGCATGTGTAGGTAGAGAAGAATTTGGAGGTTCCAGGGGGGAATGGGAGTGAGGCCTTTTAGAACCCATGGATCCTGATTCTATAGTACTTGGCTGTTTGGAGAACACCGCGGACCTGCTATATGTTATCGGCTTGTGGCCTTGGGATAGCATGTTTTGTGAGGCCAAGATTGCAACAATGACGGCTGTGATTCTATAGTCTGAAGATGTCTGAAGCCGGGCCTATTTGTTCCTACCCTGTGATTGTCTATAGCTAGAATTTATGGTGGAAAACCCTGGGGCGGGCTCAAATCAGATTCGAATGACCACCCTCGCGGGGGGGAAGATTTTCTGTGAATTCTCACGCCTATCCTTTTTGGCCTTAGCATGCCCTATTCCATGCCAACATCGGCGAAGCTGAAAGGTGCAGAGAGTCGCCTTCACGAGCGCCTCGAAAGACTACTGAAGGCGCCAAGGGATGAAGCGGCACTAGTAGCAATGGCCTCCAACCAAATAGCGATGGCCTCCACCTAGAAGCTTCTTGCTACTAGTAGTAATTGCCTCAAACCAAATAGCGATGGC